AGCTGCATCTGAGTCTGAAATTCATCATGAGATTGGTGGTCATGGAATGGTCTTCGTCTCTGGCCACGGCCCCTGCCACCAAAATCATAATCCTTCAACTGCCTGTCTTCCTGCAAGTCACTGTGAGACGGATGGTCAGGAAAAGATCTCTGCCTTTGTCCACGGCCTCTGTTAAATTCAATGTCCCTCGATTGTCTTTCTGCCTCTAAATCATCATGAAACTGGTGTCCATGAAAAGGTCTCAACCTTTGTCCAGGTCCCTTGTTACTGAAGTCTAGGTCCTTCAGCTGCATGTCTTCTTGATAATCATCATAAAACTGGTGATGATCAGGAAAGGGTCTTCGCCTCTGTCCTGGTCCCCTATTGTAGTCCCAATTTCTCATCTCCATTGGTGCTCTTAAATCATCCTGAGTCTGATGGTCATGAAATGGTCTTCGTCTTTGTCCAGGTCCCTTATTAATGAAATCAAAGTCTCTCAACTGTATCTGTCCTTGCAAATCATTGTGAGAGTGGTCATCATAAATTCTTAATCTTTTCCCAGACCTGTAAAGAAGTTTTGTCTTAAATACAATATCATAAGTGCTGCAAGTCATTAACGAAAACAAGTTTTTTTAACTAAGAATTTATATGAAAGACATTGCGTATCAAAGCTACCAAGAATCCAAACTGTAAGAAAGATTATAAAACTTCCAATGTCATAGTAGAAGCTGTGACAAACATTTAACTGTAGTTCTATAGCGCTTGTGAAACAGGCAAAACCAGTGATTCCAAATTAATTAAAAATAATTGCAGATTACTGTAAAATAATAAAGAAGAACAGGCAAAGTAAAACTCTGATTTTTTTCAGGTGAACTACTTACTTATGGTCTTCTAATACCACACATCCCCTTTCTTTCCCTTCTCTTTTCACTGTTTCATCAAATTCTGTAAATGTATTTTGCATGAGTAGGCTATATTAATAAAATCTCTTTTAAATTAGAGTAGCTACAGTATTTTCAATAAGAAACCATTATCTTTCCCATGGTATGGGTTTTTTGGCTTTTAATTCCATGTTTCAGCCTATTACCCCTGAAAATCTTCATTTGGGAACCTCTCTACAGGTCCTTCCATTGCATGTGGTGGGGGAATAATATCTTCATCTGAATCCCATACATCCATTCCAAGGTTACTAAGAAGAATAAAAAAGTCTCACATAAGCTTCCCTTTTTAATACATACCATTGAGAGAGAAAAAAAAACCCACATAAAATTCTTCAGTTTAGCATGAGAGAAATTTTTTTATGTTAAGTTACATTTATAGACATTCTTAGCAAATTAGCAAATTTTAATCTTGGGAGTTTTTTTGGGGAAGGGCTGCAGGGAAAGCAAGGGAATACGTAAACTTCATAAGCTTGGAACAACATCCATGTGAGATGCTAGACAAAGTGCATACCTATTAAAAAATCTGACACAGGACTAACTTAATCATGCACAGACTACAAAACAATAATAGCAGTAAAACAAAGGTCATTCAATTAAACTATAACGATGCAAATCATCCAGGTATTATTTTAAAATCAGTTTCCTGCTACAAGATATCATTAGCACAAATAACTTAGAAAGATGTAAAGGTTAGCTATTCTTAGGTGAATATGACAAGCATGAAATTCCTACACACCGGGGATACAACTACTATGAACAGAGGAGTTGAGAACAATCTTCCACCTTCCCATATATTTTTATTCCTAAAACTGTTGTAATTTTTTGTTAAAGTAACTGGTTCTACCATGCTGACAACAGAAGGCAGACTGTAGAGCTTATAAAGAAATCTTTGCAGTGGCTCCTTTCAGCTTATAATGAGAGAATATGGAGTCAATACACTTTGTCATCATATGATAAAACCACACCAATGTTCAATAGTAGTTGTCAGATTAAAAGAAAAAATCTTTTGAACCAGTACACTGTACTTCATGTAATTCATATGAGAAGTCTTACAATATATGTGTAGTTGCATGTTAAAGGTTTAAAAGGGGGTTAATTTTGGCTTATAACTGGAAGTGAACTTTTCAAAATACCCGTAGACATACTGGAAAATCTTAACCATGTAACTAAAAGCTTTTGTTTACCTTCTCATTGGTTGTGTTCTGAGATCTGTAAGATACACAAGACCATCCATGCGATGACCTCTAGCATCACCAAAAGCTAAAGAAAAAAAGATACAAGTCTAATGAAATGTGCTCAAACTGAGCCACAGAAATCCGGAAGGCAAGTTTCTGTTCATCATGAGATACTGAATTTGAAAGAACTCTAACTTAATACTAAATACTTCAGGAAGCTGGCAATATTGCAGCTTTTTTTTTTTTTAAACAACTGAAACTAGTAGTGATAGCAACCTATGACTGAAAAACCTTCAAAGCAAAAGCAAAAAAAAAAAAAAAATATTTTAAGCAGCTGAAACATACTCCTACTATGCTGTCAGTTTGCTAACGCTCAAGCCTTGCCTGGAATAGAATCAACAGTCAGAGAAAACCTTCTATGGAAGCCAGCACATGAAATAAATTTAAGGATACTAAAATAGAATTGTAGTATTTATCAATACAGTTGTAGTAATTGTGAATTACAACCCAACGTGTGCCTTAGTTCAAACTGTATAAATACCTTGGATTGCTGCCTCTGGATCCCAGCCTTCAACATCTATAAGATATCTGAAGAAAAATCCCAGAGGGATTACAGATTAATACAAAGACACTATCTTTTGTGAACAATGATTTCTGGTTTTATACATCGCTTACCTACATATAAGGTAGCCAGTTCTATTAATTCCGTTAGTACAGTGAACGCCAATGAGTTTCTCTATCAAAAAGGAAAACACAGTCTTTAATAGTTCAGAAAGAGAAATTACTAAAAAAATTAGTGCAAGACAAAAAAAAACCCAGCCGTATTTTCCTAGCAAAGTAATGATAAATAATGCTGCTATTTACAAAATTATACTGTCATGCCTGTAAAAGAACAGACACATCCAGACTTTGCTCTCTTCATGCTGGATCTGAAACAGCAGTTAGCTCACTACTTCCAAACCTGTGAAGACTGAAGTTAACTCTACAGGACATAGGAAAAAAGAAAGAGGAACGACGACAGGTAAAGTGGCTGACCGCAGCCAGAACTACAGTAAAGGCGAGAAAGAACAAAATATGGTTTTGAAAGCAAATCTAAACAAGCAAATGTAAAATTGAGGAACTTACAGATTCTTGTAAAACTTACTAAAAGAAGAAAATAAACATAATAACCCCAGTGTCTAGGAGTATGAAAAACCTTACTAGAATAATTCATTTAACTGGACTAAGAATTTGGATCATTACAGGGATGAACCATAGAGAGGAGGAATTTAGCTTCATGCATGGAAAAAAGCAGCACGCTAATGGGAGCCAGTAATCTCTAAAGAAATCTTGTCTGGTTTGGAAAGGTTATACTAATCAGCTAAAGGTTAAAAAGCAGAACAACTTACTATTATTAGGGTGTTTCAAATGAGGTATTTCCAACAGAAATAGGGAAACACTAATATGGTCATGCAAGGCACTGATAAAACCTCATCTAGACTATTCCATACAATTCTAGTTAGCCATATTTAATGAAAAAAAAAAAATCAAACTGAAGTATGTATAGAAAGGGCTACTATGATGGTTACAAAAAAAGTTTGTAAGAAGAGACCTAGAAAGCTTGTCTTATTTAGTCTGTAAAACCAAATCTGAGATACTGAATATAATAACGGACATTGAAAACAACAATACTTAAGGGCAAAGCTGGCATAAGAATAAATGTTTATTAGCTGATTGAGAGTTTTAGGCTAGATTTAAGACAAAAAGCTTTAATCATCATAAGAACAAAGTTGTGGCAGAGACAGAGCACTTTACAGATGGTCTTTGAAGTGGGAATTTGATAAATTTTTGAATGAGATAAAATATAACTGTTTGCCGCAGAACAGGACAGTCACATTGTCATCTAAGTTTATTATAAGTTGGTGTCCTAACAATTCAGACATTAAAAAAAAACAGCTTCTCAAAAATCGTATGTAAGAACAATCCTGAGAAATTTTAGGTGTAATCTAAAACAGAGGGCAAGTTACAGCAGTTAATATAAAAAGGTTCTCCCAACTCTAAGTTACATAAATCCTGGCAAAATGGTCTTACTAGCTGGAACTGCAGGTCTTCATCCAGTAACAAATTAGGAATTGATTCTCTCAATTCTGAGAATCAGAAATAATTAGTTTCAAATACAGACTATTCTTTGTCACACGAAAAATCACTAGGTTAAAACCAGAAGGAAACTAATAATTTCCAAGTAATTTCCCTAGGCCAAAAAAGAACAAAGGAAGAACTTACACACTAACTTCCTGAGCAAGGACACAGGCTGCTTCTTATACCATTTTCCCAGCACTTCCAATTCAGGCTCTTACACCCGAGATTTGGGTCAGAGCTCTTTCACAAAACAGAATTGACCATCCACAGCAAAACCATGGTTATGCTCTGCGGCAAAAACTGTAGGCGCTTGGGCTGTTAGTATCTCTACCTTCTCACAGAAAATGCCAAAGTAACTACAGCAAATAGCATGAAAAAGCTTAAAAGAATGGTCCTCCAATGTTGCATAGACAAACAGTTAAAATCTGCCTACAAAGAATTGCCAGCAAAACAAGTGAGAAGGTAAAAGCTGCAAACAGGCTGAGGCAAAATACATGCAAATTTATTTCTGCAAAAAGCGCCTTACACCATCTCAGCAAGAACAGTACTATTGCATAAAGAGTAAAACAGCAGCAGATCCATGCTGTGGAAACACTGACACTGTTTCTGTAATATGATTTTTCAAAATTGCTAGGATATGATGGCAATAATGGACTCACAAATCAAAAAACTGCTATATCAGACTAAACGGACTTAAGTTGCTCACATGCACAGTGCCTCGTGCCATCAGAAAAACCCTGTGCTATTTAGAACATCCATAA